GAATAAAATACGCTTACAATTTCGATTCGTTGACACTAGCAATTACCGCGGAAGATAAGCGCGCGCAAAATAAAGCGCCTTCAACATCGTAGAGATACTTCAAGCGCTACACCGTATTACACACGTTCCTTTATGCAAATCGCCGATACACTGCGCTGCCCGAAAGCACCGAAATGGCGGGAAAATGATGGAAGTGGTGTACTCCAACAGTCAACCCCTATTTCTTTTCATTTTCCAATGATGTTCGCTAAAATTAAACGTATTTCAATGTGAAGTTGTAGTTTGTTTGCACTGCAGACGACATTAATGAGATTAGATTACTTGATTTCGAAGATTTAGTTTCGACTATACTCTCTTTTTCTCATATTTGTAAGCATACATTTCGCGGAGGACGTAGAAAAGAAACCCGTGCTTGCTTCTGATTGGTGCCGGAGGACATCATTTCGTTCGGCACGAAACTGGGGCGGAAAAATTGCGTATTTTAAACTTGGTGTTTCTCGGTTTCGGAGTTACTTTTCGGCAATTTTAAAAAGTACATCGTGTTCTCCGCGTCATTTACGTTCACTGGAAAAAAAAACACATTGGATCTAGAGTCCAGACTCTTAAAAAAATCGACAAGAAAAAATTATCTCGATTCAATCAGATTTAAGCTTAGATCAAGAACCAAGCCTCTTAATATGAGCGGATTTCCTTTTGATTTAAGCTTAACGCTGTTGGAATCATAAGTCCATTTTCTTGTCAATGTTTTCAAGAGTCTGGACTCTAGATCCAATGTGTTTTTTTTTCCAGTGCTCGGAAAAATTTATTCGCAAGTCAAGTTTCATTCATAAGGTCAATGTTCTTCATGAACCATCGTAAAATGACGCGTAATTTTTAAGTATTTCACGAAACCTCCGGGACAATGGGCCTGTTGCATGCAAGAGATACAGCCGCGCGAATAGACTTTTTAGAGGTTAAATGACACGAAAATTACGATGGTCACATTAAAAAAGTCTGAAATACACTCCTTACTGCGCAATTTGCGTTGTTAGGAACGCGCTTTTTCAAATTTCCCGCGTCTGGGGGCAGTTTTCTAATCACCGGAAACGAGCAAACGGCGGGCTCGGTGATTTCCGGAAGATACCGAGTCGTTGTTGTTGTTGTTATTTTTTCCTTCCGTTTGTTTACAAACCCAATGTGATCTCTTATATTGGTCCATATACGCTTTGTGCGGTAACCAAATCGATCAACTTTTAAATACCCAACGCAATCCTTCTACATTTCATTTCACGATATCACGAGCTCCAATTTTTAGGTTATGTTGTCTGTTTTAGTTGACCGGAAATAACCGCGAGTTGCCGTTAATTGTTTCCGTTAGAAAACTGCCCCCAGACGCGGGAAATTCGAAAAAGCGCGTTCCTAACAACGCAAATTGCGCAGTAAGGAGTGTATTTCAGACTTTTTTAATGTGACCATCGTAATTTTCGTGTCATTTAACCTCTATAAAGTCTATTCGCGCGGCTGTATCTCTTGCATGCAACAGGCCCATTGCGTATTAGCAGCGATATTGCGGAGATTCTCTCGTAATTTCTCAGTTTTCCGTGCTAAATAGCGAGGGAAACAACGCATTTCGCACAAAACCGAGAGGAAAAGCGAGTGCTGTCTCAGCATTTAGCGGATCCGTTGGAAATGTCGCGTAGCCCTTGCGATATGGAGATGTAAATCGCGCAATACCTCACCTTTCAAAAGTCGGAATTGAAGCGGGCAACTTTTCGAACTCCGGAGTAGATATGTAGTATCACACGAAATTGAAGGAGATCCTTAACTCTTGGCCCATTTAAAATTACTAATGTTGATGGACATTTTGCTAGCATCGATTTGCAAATCGCGTATTTTCTGCGACGTTGAGTTGAAAATGATGTGATCCTCTATGTAAATCACCACCGCGAAAATCACCACAACATGGCGGAAAATACGCGGCTCAAACGCTGGAGTGTATATGCCGAGATATAAAGGTGAACCACGCATGTTTTTGATCGATATTTATAACCGCTGGAAATATCGCGTATTTTCCGCCATGCTGTGGTGATTTTCGCGTAATTTCTCATCTTTATCTCACAAAGTTCATCTTTATCGCAAAAATTGCGCATTTCCCGCGATAACAAGATGGAAGTATGAGACTTTTTAGGATTTAACGCATCCAAAGGAAATATCGGATACATCCCGCAGAATTGGGATAGAATTCGCATAACTTCCGACTTTTCACCAAGCCTGCAACTTTTCGAACTCCGCAGTAGGTAGGTGGTATCACGCGGAATTCAAGGGAATCTTAGCTTTCGGGCTATGAGAAATAACGGACGTTTATAAACATTTTTCTCGCATCGGTGTGAAAGTCGCGTATTTTCCGTGATGTTAAGGTGAGAACAGAGTCATCTTCCACGTTTTTAACCCTCTTTGACAGAGCGTTACACAATCGTAACAATGGGCTTTATATTTTTTTAAAAATTGAGATTCGTGCGCATTTTTCAGCGAGATGGTGCTAATTGAAGATAATTCATTTGCCGTTATCTTGGCAACATCCCATAGATCATCTAGAACTGCAAAATTTAAAAAAAATTTATACTCGAAATGAGGCTGTAATCAACCTCCAGCCTCTTAGTTACCACTTATGCGTCCACTAGTGCCTCCGCGTGCTCTGCGACGCCGGACCGCCACCGATAGCGATCCTGCCAGAGCTCCTCCGGCAAATCGCATCTTCTCATTTCCTGCCTCATTCGATCAATTCACGTTTTGGCAGGGTGTCCTGTACGTTTCCTGGCAGTTGGGGACCCGATCCAGAACCTTCTTAGGAAACCTTATTATGTGGACTTTAAATCGCGAAAAATCGAAATCTTGGCTGATCCCGATTTCGAGATATCGCCATTTGAAATTTTCATAGTAAATGCAAGTTTTCTACTAATTTTGATCCGCTTTTTTACGAATCGGTTTTGATCGGTTCACGTTTTTATTTTTCGTTCGATTCATGTCGGTCGAATACACACCCTCGCCTCTCGTTACATGCAGAATACCCATAAACTGAGCAGTTCGCCTACTGTTGTGTCTGCAGCAATTGTTGTTACGAATCTCATGTGCGTGCTAATTTCACCTCATTACATACGTGACTCTCTGAAGGCGTTTTATGTGCGAAAGTGGAGCACCCTGTTAGAGAATTACAGACGTGAGATTGAATGAATCGCTCAATCCCTGCTTTGTTCGTTCTCCGACAGATGACGCTACTTGTGCACATAAAACGCCTTCAGAGAGTCAATTATGTAATGCTGAAATCAGCACGCACAACATATTCGTAACAACAATTGCTGCACACGCAGCAGAAGGCGAATTGTTTCGTTAAAAAAATAAAAGAGTATAATGGGTAGTTTGCATGCAACGAGAGAGTGTGTATTCGACCGACATGAATCGAACGAAAAATAAAAACGTGAACCGATCAAAACTGATTGAAGGGACCAATAATTAAAAAAAACGGATCCAAATTAGTAGAAAACTTGCGTTTACTACGAAAATTTTAAATGCCGATATCTCAAACTTAAGATCAGCCAATATTTCGATTGTTTGCGATTTTAAGTCCACATATACCATTGACGGTACTGCGGCACCCCCTGCAAACAGTGTTATACAAAATACACCGCGCTACAAATTTTCAGTATTTGCAAGTTCAGCCTAAATTCCCGTGTAGACTGAAGACAGGGGCGGACTGGAAGTCGAAAAGTTAGGAGGCGACCTAGATTTGGAGTCCCTCCTGTCGTTCGGGGGCCCCTCTAAGGAGGTCCGGGGGCCCTCCCCCGGAAAATGTGGAAAATTTCACACTTTTTAAACGCAATTGTATGCATTATTGGAGTCAAATTCTACAGTATTTGAACTTCAAAATAACCTATTCTCAGCATTCTTCGGGGGCCCCTTCATCACAGAAGCTTTAGACGACCTTTCATGTCACTTAGAGACAAATTTTCAAGGATTTTGGAACCTTTTAGTGACTGAATAGGATAAAAAAATTACAACATTACAGGGGAAAAACCATAACTCGAAAAAAATTCGCCGCGGGGGCCCCTTCGGGACCTCCGTGGCAAATTGTTAGGAGGCGATCGCCTCCCCGCCCCCATGGCCAGTCCGCCCCTGACTGAAGAAGTGTAAGCACCACAATCTTCTTATGATGCAAAAAAGAAAGGGGGAAAAAAAGGAAAAAATTCGACAATAATGTGCTATAAACGGTTTGCAGGGGGTAAATCTATGGTTTACGTGTAGCGTTCTCAATGTTTCAGAAACATATCTTCAGTGGAAACTTTTACAACTCTGCTCTGACCAAAATCCCAAAATGTTATTTCTAAATCCATCAATGAATTCTAAACTTTGCTCCACGAGTCTTATCTTAACGTGGATTTTAAATGTTTTAGAGAGAGTATTGGTAATACCTCAAAATGCTTGAAACCACGTATATTTCAACATTTGTCATTCTACTATCATCATTTTTCAGTCGAACAGTCGCACTAAACGCGGAGAAAATCGGAGTAAACTTGCATTTACTTTCAAAATTTCAATTTGCGATATCTCGATAATAGGATCAGCCAAGATTTTGATTTTTCGCTATTTCAAGTCTGCATGTATTATAGAAACAACCACTGCCAACCGTTTTTTAGTACATGTTCGTTGCATTGTTTGTTTGCTTCAAGACCACTGTGAAGTTGAAGTACTCTAACCCAGAGAACCCCATTCAGCATCGCGATAGCTTTCCTGCCTTGCATATCCCGATCTTTAATAGCCCGATCCTTTCTGTCCTTAGTTAAACTATAGCTCCTCGATATTACTCTTCATAGTCCTGAATTATCCGGCCATCCTCCAGTTCCATGCTTTGCTGACCTCCACCATTAATCAACTTCTCTGTCTTTTCAACACTGACTGCCATCATCCAATTACGGTATAGGGGACATTAATAAATGCGGTAATAAATGTAACAATGATTTACATACCTTGCGTCGGGGTTGCAGCTCACAGCACAGATTTCTGGAAAAATAAAAAAATAAACTCGTAAGTAAACGGACTGATAAAAATCTAGAGGAAGGCTAAAGGAGGGATCTCTACCTCTGCGGGCAAGTATAGTCATAGTCAATGATTCTGTCTTGCATTGATATTCTAGGAGTTTCCTGATTTTTGACGATACGCTGAAAAAAAATTCTCGGCGTTTTTACCAAGGTCCGTTGGTACCTTTACCATCTCACGTTTTTACCAATTAATTGGTAATTTTACCAAGACAGACTGGTAAGCTTACCTAAAAACCGGTATTTTTACTGCTTTTTTCAGGTAAGAATACCACTTTTATTGGTAATCCATTCCCGGTGACTTTGCCATTTTATCTCGGTAATTCTACCACAGTCGATAAAAAATATTGGCGTTTTTACCAAAGTCCAGTAAAATAACCGAGAAAGTTCAATAATGTTATCGAGATTTCTTGGTAAAATTACCAATTCTATAAATGGTAATTTTACCATGAAAAAATTGAAATCAAATAGAACCCTGAATTCTCGGTAATTTTACCCTTTTCTTAGTAAATACACAGAGATTTTTTTGTCAGTGTAAAATATTCCTGGTGGGCTGATAAAGCCTTTCAATCAAAATTCGTGACTGCTTACAGCTTTTACAGCACATGGTGAACATCGGCCTCAAAACGGATCCCTACTCCATTAAATATATATAGATTATTTAAAACAGTAGCCATGTAGGCACGAAAAAATTCCCTGGAAGAGGAAACTCTCATTCCGAGATTCAGATTCTCTGCTGGAGAAGCTGACAAGGGAGCATACATTTTTTGGTCTTTTCAGATCAGTTGCATTGATTATATTATAGTTAGTAACAAGTACAATAAATAGTATATATTATATAGTTATCTAGTTAAAGCTCATCTTTAACTTTCTTGGATCGAAACTTACTGATAAATCTGATAATTTTCTCTACATTTTAAGACCAAGATCATCCCTCTAAGACAAACCGTTCATGAGATATGCCAGTTGAAAGTTTTAACTTTAACCCTTCCCCTCCTCCCTTAATTATCCAAATTCAAAATTCGTCAGTGTTTTGGACTCGGGAAGTGGTCCTCTATCAACCGTGAAAATATTACGAAGATTTGGCCAAGGTTGAAAATGACCGATTTTGAATAAGGTCCTTTCCATACGCGATAACATACCGATGGAAAAGCATGTGAAAATTCAGAGCAATAGATTCATAGCCGGGGAAATTGGCATGAGAGCGTTAACATTTTGTTCATTTCCGACCATCAGTTGCATCTATTCCATTACTTAAAGCACGTTTTTAACTTCCTCGAATGGAAACTTCAAACATTTCAAAAGCATGAAAAATTCCTTGGAAAAGAAAACTCAAAACTCCATAATTTTTAGGCATTATGGTCGCAACGTTGAGTGCGAACGTGCAATTTTTCGGACTCCTGAGTCGGATTGCACGGTGGTCATAAAGAGGAAAAAAATTGGACAGAAATGTATCCAAAAACAGGCCCGCCACATCCCGCCTCGGGTTCTGGTACCAGTTTTAAGGTCCGGGCCCCATGACTGCAACCAACCCCCCACCCCCTTACTACCAGCAGAATATTTTGTGGTATCATGAAAATTAATAAAGTTAGAATAGAGATGAATTAAAAGTTCTTTACATCCACTGGAAAAAAAAAAAACACATTGGATCTAGAATCCAGACTCTTCAAAACATTGACACGAAAAAATACTCTTGATTCAATCGGATTTTTGCTTACATCAAGAACCAAGCCTCTTAATTTAAGCGGATTTCCTTTTGATTCAAGCAAAAGTCTGATTGAATCAAGAGCATTTTTTCTTGTCAATGTTTTCAAGAGTCTGGACTCTGGATCCAATGTGCTTTTTTTCCAGTGTTTAAGGATAGCAGTTTAGTCACATTCAAAAAATGATTTGAGCATTTGAGCATCAGACGAAGGAAGAGCGTAAAACCCAGTGATTGAAAATATCATTCTAAACTAAAAATCATGGAAATCGATAGAACTCTTCAAAAACGTAAGCAAAGTTCGACAGTGCCCCAGCGTGTTAATGAAAATGTATCCACCTTTTTCGAGATTACAGGAGTAAATTTTTCACTTTTCCTGACAAGACAAGGGTTACATGTAAATTCGAAATAGTGTATTATATCATATAGGCGGTATGGACCCCGGTACCATGACCCAGTGCCCTTGAGGCGAACCTGTGTATGTGATTCGATCGCGAATTCGCCAAAAATTTCGCGGAGAGCGGGTCCAGCCAAAAGTTGCATTGAACACGGAGGTGCCGAAATTACTGATGGCAATGATTCTGCAAGCATCAAGCATGGTGACTCACAGGATGCAAACGACACGAGGAATGAATAAGACGTATTTCTGTCGAACGGAACTATGTGCATCATGACGTGAGCCTTGTTATGCATAAATTCTTATGGGACTCAGCGCTCATGTCTTCATGCACATAGTTCCGTTTGGCAGAAATATGACTTATCCGACGCGTCTTCCCTTCACGCTCATTACTTCTCACGTGCCGATTGCTCAAATGTGGCCCACTCCACTCCTCCTTTCCGCTTGACTTCAGCTTGTCTTTCACTTCTATGAGTTTTCGGTATAAATTCACCGTCTCACTCTATTCTGTCATCAGTTACCTCTGTGCTTCGAAACAAAGTTCATCTAATCAAATCTATCGAAATGGTTTTCAAGGTAAGCTTAGAAGTACATGTTTTGAATTATTGGAGATCTTGAACTTTAACATAAAGTTGAGTTTCGAATATCCGCGCTTTAATTATCCGCGATTTTTTAAAAAAAAATAACTGTCACTAGCTATTCGACTCAAAGAAAAACCCTCTCTCAACTGACAGTTACATTCCTGTTAACGAGTTTCATCAGTTTCTGTCTGATGCTTGACAAGTTCTTTAATGGGGTCTTTTGAGTTTTTTGGATTTTAGAGTCTTAAGACTTTTAGGTCTCAAAGAGTCTTTAGGCTTTTCGATCTTTTTACCCGGCAAAATAGTTCAGTTTTTGTTTATCCTCGATTTGCAATAAATTATTACCCGTATTGGCTCTAATTCCAAATACCGCGGAAAATTGAGACTCTGCTGTATTATACATACAATGACTAAGTTTTTAGACGCTATCTGCTTCAGCATTATTTAGAGTGTTGCTGTACCTGCACTGAGTGCAAAAAAATAACAGAACATTTCGATTGATATGGGAGGTGAAAAAAAAGATAACCCAAGCCTACGGTTAATCGTGAAGTTTCCTGAATTTTCATTGTTTTCTGTGCTGGATTGGACTGCATTGTGCAATAGGGACTACAAAATGCGGGCTGTCTGTAAAAACACGCATGTTCACAGGGAAACTTATGGTGCGTACGTCGTATCTAAACTGAACTAGAAACTGTGGTTCCTAATTGCAAAATTTAGTCCAATTCAACGCCCAATACACATATGCAATCGGAATTTGCGTTGTTTGTGTTTCAGTTCTTATATGTATCAGCCGAATGTAACACGAAAACACCCATATTTTCTAACGTATCATCTAAAGTATCTTTCTAACGCTCATCAATGGAGAATTCGCATGCAAATTTTTTATCGTTTCATCTGAAAGTGCCTGAGGAGCTGATTTTGCAGTAATTTTTTATAATTTTTTTCTGCTAAGGGAAATAGTGTAAGAATAGATTTAAAAGTGAGAATATGCACCGTCTAGTGACGTTATCTAGCAGCATTTCCCATTTAAACATGTATTTCAGTAGATTAGGTTATTTTGTCGCATCTCCTCCACTAATTGTTCGATTTATGAACCAAGGGTATCCTCATGTTCAGCTCACACGGTGGCATCCATTTTGACACAGAATTTATCAAACAGACACCTGCAAGTTCTCCATTGTGAACGACCGATAATTTGTCATTATCTGTTGGATGATTTTACTTTGCAAAAGTAAAACTAACGTTAGTTGTAATCTCGTTACAGTTCTGCATCTTGGCTGCCCTCGCGACAGTGGCTAGCTGTGGCCACGCTAGCTCCTCAGCGTACGTGAAGGCAGCTCCATCGCACGGTCACCCACTGGCATCTTACGGAAGTTACGGCCACGGAGCCGAGTCTTACGGAAGTTACGGCCACGGAGCCAAGTCTTACGGAAGTTACGGCCACGGAGCCGAGTCTTACGGAAGTTACGGCCACGAGTCGTACCACAACGCGCACCCCAGCTACAAGTTCGCGTACAACGTCCACGACCCTCACACCCATGACGTGAAGGCACAGGAAGAGACCCGCGACGGACACCACGTCAAGGGATTCTACTCCCTCTACGAAGCTGACGGCAGCAAGCGAGTCGTCCACTACGCCGACAACGGACACGGATTCGAGGCTACCGTCCACAAAGAGGGCGGTCACCACCCCGTTTCAGCCCCTGTCCACTACGCTCAGGCGCCCGCCTACCACGCCGCTCCGGTCTACGAAAAGTACTGAAACCACCTAGTCATCAAACGGACTACGTTTTGCAATTAAGAACTATGAATTCTGGCCCGGTTCAAAAGAACGTATGTGCCATTAATTTCCCTGTGCACATAAGTTTTTTTTCAGATGAGCCAGAATTTAATGAGCCGAATTGCAAAATGCAGTCCAAATGTCATCATATCCTGTAATATTATCAATTTTGAATTTCAAATAAAAATTAGAAAAATAGGTTTCATTACTCTTGATTTTTTTGTACCTACAATAAAAAAAAAACTCTAGCTCCAGGATCCGTAATGAAGATGTTGCATGTGTGAGGAATTTGCGATTTGACTGTTGGTTTTTATGTAAAAGTTCGCGAGAAACACGATGGTGCCTCTGGTTTTCTCTAAAATCAACTTCCAAGCTCAAAAAAAGCTCTTAAGTTGAGACCAAAATGGAGGGGATATCCCACACTATCCTGAGAGTCTACGTCTACATCAAAACAAACTCTTCAAGCAAAGATAGGGAGCAAATACATTGACAGGGCTGCCACTTTATTTGGAGACTCAGAGACTGATAACACGGCATCACTGCTAATGTATTTGTTCTCTATCTTAGCATGGAGAGTTTGTCTTGATGTAGAGGTGGACTCTCAGGATAGCGTGGGATATCCCCTCCACTTTGGCCTCGACTTGAGAGCTTATTTTGAGCTTGGGAGTTGATTTCAGAGAAAACCAGTGGCACCATCGTTTTTCTCGCAAACTTTTACATAAGAATCAATAGTCAAATCGCAAATTCCTCACACATGCAACATCACTATTACGGGCTGTGCATCACTACCGTAAGTTTCAGGTGAGGAAACCGAAAGTCCCCCATTCAGGAACCATACCACCGCACCGGCCTCTAAGCCGGGAGCTCTTATTGCTACGCGTTTAGAGGCTGTTGCTCCGACTCTTGAACACGGGACTTACGGTTTCCTAACCCGAAACGCACGGTAGTGCTATATAGCCCGTAGTTACGGCTCCTAGAGGCACAGCTTTTTTTTCAGTGTACGTAAAGGTCTAAGAAATCTGTCGGATTTGCGATGGTTCCGCATGCACCGTAAAAATTGTCAGAAAATGTTTTTGGTTCTTTTCTTAAATTAAAGTAAAATCTATTCGATTCTTTCAGTCTTGCGAAACTTCTCGCCAAGGCTGAAAATTTGTAGTGCGGTATCTTATATTTTGCCCTAAGCTCAGTTTATCTTGAAAAGATTTTTGAGAGTCCCCCGTAAAATGACCATATAAAATATAACTCTCTATCGGTAATGATATCTATTAATTGGGAGAGCGAAAATGTTTTTCAACGAGTATTATACGGTTGTTCTCAATTGGCCTTCGGCTGCGCTCCCGGCAATTGTTGTTACGAATGTGTTGTGCGTGCTGATTTCAGCTCATTACATAATTGACTCTCTGAAGGCGTTTCATGTGTGATGGTAGAGCACTCTGTCGGAGAACAATGAGGTTAGATTGAATAAATCGGTCAATCCCTACTTCGTTCGCTCTCCGACAGATCATGCTACTTGCGCACAATAAACGCCTTCAGAGAGTCGAGTATGTAATGAGCAAAAATCAGCACCCGCAACATATTCGTAACGACAATTGCTGCAGAAGCAGCAGAAGGCGAATTGTTTCGATTTTAAAAAAAAAAGAGTATGATAAGAACAGTGGCGTGGCGTGAATTGCGATATATAGATTGATATGTAATTTAAACCTATAGTAAAGAATCGATTATTAAGGTGTTCGCTGCGAACATTCTGTTTATCGATCCTTTTCCATAGGTTTAAATGGCAGATCATTCGATAAATCGCAAAGCACGCCACGCTACTGGATAAGAAGTCTGCACGCAACGAGAGGACATGTTAATATTAGATTGACATGACTAGAACGAAATATAGAACTGTGAACCGATCGACACCGATTCAGTGGACAAATGACTATGAAACCGGATTAAATAAGTAGAAAACCTGCCTTTACTTCGGAAATTTCAAATTGGCGTATCTGGAAGTTAGGATTAGCTAAGATTTTGATTTTTTGCGATTTTAAGTCTTTACGTGCCAAAGATTCACCCCTCGCAAACCGTTTTTTGATACATTTTTGCCCAATTTTTATTTTGCTTCAAGACCACTGCGCATACCAACTTCGGAGTTCTTCCACAAGGAATTTTTCGTGCCTGTACACATTTAAAAAATTCGGCCAGAGAAAGTCATAAAATGAGTGATGAAGTCTGTGAAAGAGATCGGAAATAGACATGCCATTAGTCTCGGATGATCATTTGCAACGCAGAATTTAAAGTTTTTCATCCTCTGCTTTTTTGAGGCACTGACCTTCTGTTCAATTCTGATCCGAGGAAGTTATAAATACAGTAATGATGGAGTCGATGGAACTTGCCAGAAGTGAACAAAAACATCCATGCTCCCTAGCCAATTTCCCTGCCTAAAAATCTGAAGCTCGGAATTTTCACTAGTTTTTCGAGGATTTTTTTTTGCGACTATAAGAATTTTGGAAGCTAAAACTTCCCTCACTTGCGAATGATACCACACCACGTTTCTACTTCGAGGTTGCCAGTTGCAGGTTACCAGTTGCTCACTTGTTTCTGCATTTAACGATTCGAAAAGAATGCCAACATTCATAGACGTGAAAAATTGAGACAGGTGAAAAGCTACGATTTTTTTCCTTTATATCCGCGGGAGACCACATCACAAAATTACCCTGCAGTGCAAGTATTGCGGAGCACTTACCTTCTTATTTGTATTTAATATTCTGAAAGTAGTGGATGAGTATAAATCACGGTGATTGCTTAAATATAAACGAGGGCATTGTGATCACACCGTGATACAAGCGGAAATCAAGCGAGCAGCTATTGAGCTATATGCAGACTCCGGAGTATGTAAATGTATGTGATGTGGTATCACGCTAAAATGAAGGAAAATCTTAACATATCACTTATCTCGAATTAGTAGGGTCTATGAGTGAGGGGAGGGCATCATGATCGCATCGTGATACGAGCGGAAATCAAGGGTGCGACTATGTGGACTCCGATCACCAGAGAGTAGGTATGCGATGTGGTATCGCGCTAAAATGAAGGAAAATCTTAACGTTTCAACTTTCTCTGTAACGTCGATGAATGAGGACATTCGTGATACAAGCGGAAGTCAATCATGCAACTAGACGGACTTCGGAGTAGGTACATATGTGATGTGGTATCACGCTAAAATGAAGGAAAATCTTAACGTCTCACCTTTCTCAAATTAGTAACGCCTACAAATGAGGACATTATGATCGCATCGGGATGCGGGTGGAAGCCAAGCGTTCCGGAGTAGGTATGGGATGTGGTATCGCGCTAAAATGAAGGAAAATCTTAACGCTCCATACTTCTCCATAACGGTAATGAATGAGAACACAATGAATTCATCGTGATACGAGCGAAAATCAAGCGAACAAGTAAGCGGACTCCGTAGTAGGTATGGGATGTGGTATCGCGCTAAAATGAAGGAAAATCTTAACGCATCATCTTTCTCCATAACGTTAATGAATGAGAACACGATGAATTCATCGTGATACGAGCGGTAATCAAGCATGCAACACTGCAACAGACTATGCTGACTCCGGAATAGGTATGGGATGTGGTATCACGCTATAATGAAGGAAAATCTTAACGTTTCAACTTTCTCTGTAACGTCGATGATCACCCGTCTCAAATTAGTGACGCATGTTAGTGTGTTGAATGAATGCACTTCTAAATATTCAAAAGTACCATCCTAGAAAGTTAAAACCATGTTATACGCTATGGTGTCCATGCAAGTATCATCAGGTGGTTCAGTAGAAAACAGGCGACAAGCCGTGCTTTCAAGTCAGTCTCCTTTAATGAATATCTGGAGCTCGGAGATTTCACTTGTTTTACCAAAGTTATTTTTGGGCAAAAGATTGAATCTCGATCCACGAAGGATAAAACAGCGCAATTTTACCTAATAAAGCAGATACAAGTTGTCAAAAAACTAGGGAATTATAATGCTCTCATGCCATCTCGAATTTTCATTTGTTCGGGGCGTTTGAAATTTTGAAATTTCATCTAAGAAACATGAACAGGGCAATATAAAATGGAGTCGACGAGCTTTATCGGGAGAGAACGATTAATATATGCTCCTATGCCAATTTTCCCGACTTAGGATCTGAAGCTTGGAATTTTCAATAGTTTTTCGATACCGTCACCCTTGATTACATTCCTATTACTGACAACTTTGCGACTTGTGAAAAACTTATTTTCCTTTCATATCGCGTGATTCCACGTCACAAATCTACTCCAGAATCCGCATAGTTTAGTTACACGCTTTGTTTCCGCTTATATCACGATGCGAGCATAGTGCCTGCATTATAATACACTGGAAAAAAAAAAACCACATTGGATCTAGAGTCCAGACTCTTAAAAACATCGACAAGAAAAAGTACTCTTGATTCAATCAGAATCTAGCTTAAATCAAGAACCAAGCCTCTTTATTTAAGCGGATTTCTTTTTGATTCAAGCAAAAATCCGATTGAATCAAGAGTCCTTTTTCTTGTCAATGTTTTTACAAGTCTGGACTCTGGATCCAATGCGTTTTTTTCTCCAGTGTAAAGTCACTAATGTGAGACAGGGCACAAGCTAAGATTCTCCTTCATTTGAGCGTGATACCACATCACATACCTAATCCAAAGTCCGCATGGTTGCACGCTTGATTTACGTTTTTATCACGATCAACAATCCATAATCCAACATTCAAGCCTCGCTCCAGACACCGTCTAACTTCCACCCATGATCCACGGATCGGGAGATCAAGCACATTCAGTACGCCTGCCTGCACTGCCGCGCTAAGGAAAAACGACGTCTAAACATTCAAATGTTGCCAAATCTCCTTTCGGAAAATATTTATTTTAAAAGAAAGTTATGAATATATTTCCTTGAAATGTTGGATCTATCTTGGACTATTTAGATCAACTTACGAGGAAAATAGAGAATTTAAAAAGGTCTGAAATTTTATGGATTTCGTGTGAAAGTGGAATCTACTAAGTGAACTGAACATGGAAATACCCTTAATTCAAAAATTGAGTAA